GTACTAAATGTATATTTCAACTGGCCATACTTTTAATGTGCACATGATTAAAAAATAATTCCCTTTGAGAAAAACAGGTTCTCTGAGCTTTCTTTTAACTGCAAAGCTAGAAGAAAAAATATTATTGATCTGCAAGCAGCATTTAGTTCCACAGTTTGTAAAACATTGGAAATGTGAAAAGCTGCCGCAAGCCATTAAACATTAATGTTGTTGTTAAGGGGGAATAAATGGAAGTGGGGAACATAGCTGGGAGATATTCACTGGTACAGCATTTACAAAACGAATCAAGCTGATTAACAATCATTAGATTCTACCAAATTAGTTCATGTGTGTTTTCTTTACTCATATGTAAGTTAGATGAGCAAATCCAGTCCTCATCTACTGCTTAATCCCTTCAAACAGCTTTGCTCCAGATCATTTAGAGAGATATACTGTAGGCCTACTGTACAATGATTTTGTCTTTAAATGCCTTTGATACAGAAGCAGTGGTTACAGAACATATCCAGAGTCCTTTAAAGGTAGCAAACGTTGTTTCAATGCACCCATTTGATAAAATCAAAAAAGATAATTTTATTTCTCAATGTACCATCAGCACTACACCTTGACAGAAAAGTACAATTTTGTTTAAATGTATTAAGAAAAGAAAAACTTTAAGTATTCACGTCCTATGCCCTCAATATTGAGTAGAAGCACCCTATTATGCTAGTATGGCCATGAGTCTTCTAGGGAATGATGCAACAAGTTTTTCCTTGGCCCCTTTTCCTTGCAGTTCCTCTCTAGTTCTGTCAGCTTGGATGGTGGGCGTTGGTGGACAGGCATTTTCAGGTCTCTCCAGAAATGCTCAGTTGGGTTTAGGTCAAGGATCCAATTGAGTCCTTCAAGAATATTCATAGAATTGTTCCAAAGCCACTCATTTTTTATTTTAGCTGTGTGCTTAGGGTCATTGTCTTTTTGCAAGGTGAACCTTTGACCCTGTCTGAGGTCCTAAGCACTCTGGAAGAGGTTTTCTTTCAGCATATCTCTGTTCTTGGCCGCATTCATTTTTCCTTTAATTGCGGCTAGTCTTCCTTTCCCTGCGAATGAAAAACACCTCCATAGCATGATGCTGCCCCGACCATGTTTTATTGTTAGGATTGTATTGGGCAGGTGACTTAAAATGAAAGCAAAAAGTTCAATCTTGGTCTCATCGTTGGGCCATTGTACCACTCTGAATAGTGGAGGGCTGCAGTTAACTTTGTGGAACTTTCTCCCATCTCACTACAGAATATCTGAAGTTTAAACCCAGTGATCCTTTTGTTCTTTTTTACCTCTCTCAGCAAGGTTCTTCTACCTCGATTGTTTGGTCTGGCTGGATGGCCATGTCTAGGATACGTTCTAGTCGTCCCAAACTTCCTACATAAAGTAGTATGAAGGCCACCGTGATCTTAGGAACCTTGAGTGCTGCTGAAATTATTTTCCAGCCTTAACCAGATCTGTGCATTGCCACAATACTGTGTTGAACTCCTTGGACAGTTCCTTCAACCTCAGCAAGGAAACTGACAGGAAAAGGATCCAATCTGGGACCTAACTTGAGTAAACCTCCAAAGGCTCTGGAAAGGTAGCTGAATGAAGCTAATCGGTAACTAGTGAAGAGAGAGAAAACAAACTGTTGTCTCATCAAAGCCTTAGTAAACTTTTTGATAAATTCATCTAATGAGTCTGATGAGCTAAACCTATGGGTGTTTAACCATGGGGGGCAGTAAAAGATTTCTAAGATGGCAGCTAATGCTTGGGCACTGGTTACCTAACCCATTCTATTACAGCTCTGGTTCTTTTGCAGTATAATTTTCTTTATGAATGAACTCATATTTAGAGCTATCCATTTCCCATCAACTTCCATCAGCTTTTCTATTCTGCTGAAGAAAAGTGTCATACTGCCTCCTCCTTTCACAACAGGGAATGTGTTTTCATGCTGTTTCACATGTTTGCATGCAAAAAATGGTCTTTCCCACACAGATTCTGGTAAACCTCAAACAAGACTCCTTCTGGCTTTTTTTAATGATTAGCTTTGGCTCGCTATTGCTCCCCCAAAGTAACCATGGGCCTCTTGGCTGTGCCTCTCATTATTGGGGGAGTGTTGGCCAATAGGGTCAGAGCAAGGCTGTTGTGCTCTGAGAAGGGTGCAAGAAGGCATGCAGGTGAATCAGTGGTTGGCGCGCATGACCCACGTACGGAGGCCTTAGTCCTTGATCATTCTGTAAGTCTATGTGTTAGCCATGTTTATATAGGTTAGGAGATGTCATTTCTTTTTCCTATTTTCCTATATTTTGGAGAATTATTGAAAAATTCTACCTGAGATGTTCAAAGCAGTGTTTTACAATCTACCCTTGCTTTAAACATTACAGCTTAAGCCTGAACCTTTCTGCTTGGTGATTGATCTAAATATAAACACATGCCAGACTTTCTGATTCTTCTTTGCAATTTTATTGTCTTTCTTTTTAAATAATTGTTTGTCACTTTAAGCTGTGCAAAAACCATGTAGCCTTAAACATACAGGCTGAGGAGTATTATTCTCAGCCTGCTTGCAAAAGAATAGAAAAAAAGAAAAAACTGCACTAAATCCTTTCCACAAACACTGCATGTAAACAATTAAATATGAACCGCCTTCTATAAACTCAGTGAAGCGTATTATGGTAAATTTATGATGATGCTGAAAGGTGCTGAGCCAGCTGAGGGCTGAGCTCCTCAGGCAGCTTTCATCCCTATCAGAGTGGATGAGATTGTCTGTGTCTAACGCCTGTCTACATTCCATCAGTCTTGCAGATTATATAGCATGAACCGTGCCAAACATGGTGTCAGATCACTATGCCGGTGTGCATGTGGGGTTTTTGAGTGAGTGTAACAGCATGTGGTCTTTGTCAACAGTATTTCCAGCAGGCTGGTGATGGTTATAATGGTGTAATTGTGATGTACAACAAGGTTGCAAATGTGCTAAATGGTTGCCTGCAGACATCTGTTCCACTTGCATCTGAAGACAGCATCAAGCTTTTTGACCAGGAAAATGTAATTATCATCTACTGGATCTATTTTATCTTAGGAAGTTAAACTCCTTCATGTTGAGAATGTGCAGAGAATAAACTGTGGATGAACTCAGACTAAGACTTTCTGCTAAAAGGCGGAGGCGTTCATCAGTTCAGCTGCAGAGGGGATAGAGTCTCTGTGTGTCTTTATCTACTTTTCAGCATGCAGTTTATTTTCACCCGACCATTCAGCTTCTCTCTATGCACTTTACATTCCATCTAAGTGTGACTGGAAAAAAAAAACTGCCAAAACAAAACAAAGCTTCATGTCCCGTCAGCAGATTCTATGCAGCTCTACCATGCAAAGACTTGCGAAAGGTAAAGCGGACTCTCTTTTCTTCGTCCGCTTGTTTTTCCCAGATGGCCATGTGGAAGGAGCTGTGTGATCAGAAATCTAATAAACCGGTGCGGATGTGCTGCATCGGCTCTCCCTAAGAGAGAGGAGTTGCCATGGCAACCACACCACAAGAGCTGCAGGTTAATGATGGGAAATTATGATTTTCCCAGCTGGAACACACAAACACACAAAACTCCACACACACCTTAAATGCTGACACAACTTTAAAATCGTTTTTGTTGCATGTCCACTCTGCAGTTTTTACTAAGACATTTGTACATGTACTTATTAGCAACAGTACATGCAGAGAAAAGAAATCTCTGTTCAGCTCCAGATTTCTCATGTTTTTAATTGTCTGTCACACTTAAATATTTATATCATAAAACACAAATTTTGATCAGAAAATGAAGCCCTTTCATTATGACAGTATGTTAACTGTACCAAACTACATTAGGCTGGGACTATATCACTATGCACAGCTGGGTCTGACCTGCCGAAATATGTTAAATACAAATTTCATGATGACCTGAGGTAGGAGGAAGGATCTAAAGAAAACAAAGAAATGTGAAAAAAGTTCCTGAATTCTGCCAGTATAAAAACATTTTTGCTTCAAGCAAACCACAGGGAGAGCCATTACACACATATAAGGAAAACATGTAAGAGTGCTGAATCCAAGCCAACCAAAAATGACTCTAAAATTCTTAATATGAAAAAGGCTGAAAAAAATATTCTTCATGTTGTAAAGGCTGTTTTGCTGAATATCAGGCCACTAGTTCCCGGCCTTAAACTCAACTTGACCTGGATTAACCACCAGGAAAAAGAAACATTGCAAAGTCTACCAACTCTGAATAACAAAACAAAACAAAATGGAGATTTTGGAGTGGTATATTCAAACTTCTCAGATAGTGTCTTTTATTTTTCCTCTCTAGATTTAAAATTAGATAACATCTAATTATGTGGAAAAAAAAGGTTACCGGTAAGCAAAAGAAATCTGATAATATGGTTCGATGGATTTGAGTGGCATAAAGCTGAGAATTTTACTCTTCCTTCAGATACACTGGCTTCTTTCCATGTTCTGTCTTGTCTGTCAGATATCAGTGTGTAATTTATAAATATTTGTATAAATTGTGAGTCTATTTCATATTTTAGCAGACACATTATATTAGCTAAGTTCCTTATTGCTGTAGTTATGCTTTTTTCCCCAAAACAACTCATGGTCAAAGTGCTGCATGGTTTTAGATATGAAATTCTATATCCAAGAGAAATTCTTAATTTTCTTTGCAAATATATATAATAAAGTGTTTAATTTGAAGCAGGAAATGGCTATGGGTGAAGATTCCTTGCAGTCCAGGTTCTAATAAATCTGTCTGTGTGTATTTAGAAGAGATGCATGAGATCCACTTTCAAGTCCATTTGGTTCCATAATAATTATGAATCATTAAGTAGCAGATCATTAAATTTAGATCATATCTAGCCTCATGGCGCCAGATGTCTTTTGATATCATCCCCCAGGATCCTCTTTCAAGCATAAGAGAAAATGATGACAAACGCAATTCAGTGATGTTGACCTACTGAGCGAACAGCTCAGAGTCAGAGCGCACAGAAAGTCATGGGCTCCTTCAGCACTACAGCACCACAGGGTGGGACCTCTGTGTCCATGGCAGCGGTATAACAACAGATGGTGAGGTTGAGTGTTTGAGTCCAGCTGACCTGCACAGGGTGGGCGTGCAGGAGGGGGAGCAGCTGCGCGTCTCTGGAAGCTGCTGGAGCATCACTTTGTTTGCAGCACCGCGGCTGGAGTTGGACTGATGCTGCTGTATCCACTTCTACATTTCTTTTTCCTTTTTTTTTTTAACCATCACTACTATTTAGACACCAACACAGAAGCAGCATATTTTGCGCATCCTCTGTGCGCTGAGGAGGCTGACTGTAGCCTGCAGCATATTTACACAGGATACAGCGCTTCATAGGTGAGTGCCATCTCTTCTCTCTGTGCGTGTGCTCAATCTTTATGCTGAGCCTTTTCCTTATATGCATAATTAATGATGTCATGTTTTCTACAATGTAATAAACTAATCAGCAAATATGAGCCAAAAAAATAAGTGCTACCGTGCTTAAAACAAGATATTGCTCTGAGATGAAAAGTATAACAAAGGATGTTTTTCTGCTTTATTTATTAAACGGGGCGCATAAATACTACTAAAACACGTGCGCTGTTTTATTCATGTAGTCTAGATAGGCTAAAGTGCAATGATGCAGAGATGGGAAACAAAGGGAAACGTGCAGCAGATCTGTGCGCTGTAAAATTTGGCGTCAGAATGGATGGATGCATTTCCACGCAGATCAGTATTAAACATTGCAAAGAGCTTAAGAAAGAAGCTGACTTCCATGTGCATGAGCAGCTTTCTGGTTGGTCTTCCTCAAAGTGAAGAACTCAGAAGATATCAGATTTTGAAGCAAAGAGGGGATCAATAAAATAAATATTTATTCTTCAAAAGCGTCACAAAAATAAGCATATAGTGCATTCTCTCACTCTCTCTATCTATAAATACTGTCCATTGGTATGCATTGAACAAAATAATTAATTTGTCTTTTGCATCCACTTATTCAGTTACTTTAACACAATTGTTTAATTTCCTACCCTGCCAGCATGAAACAATGACTATACTTAAGCAGATGCAGGATTACATTTTTTTTCCTACTATACATGAATACTTTTGCATCAATTTTTTTTTATTTACCAAGGAATTTGAGTTTCACTAATTCCCTAAAAATGCACCTGTTACAAACATCTTTGTTTTCCCAAATTTAAATATTAGAAAGAGATTTTAAAGATGTCTGCTTTTTTTTTGCATATCCAAGTGTAGCTGTGTCCCTTATAAAGGTTAGATTAACAAGAGTGTAACTTTGCTTCCTGCCTTTGCCTTGTGAATAAGGGCACACAGCTGATGCAGATGTCATCCTGTGGCCCGGGCCCACAATAGTCCACAAGGTTTTACCACCTTCCCCCAGGCTGAGAGTTCACAGCTCTGTGACGTATCTCCTGCGGCCGTGAGGAGGAGTGTGAGAAAATTCCCAAACAAAGACAACATCTCAGTCTGTCTGAGTGTGTTTTGGATTGCAGCCATTGTGCGCAATAGACTGAAATCTGCAGCATGTGCGCCTGTCTAGGTTCCCACAGCAGTGAAGAAGAGAGGCAAGGGTGTAACAGCTTGACCTCCCTTAATTCAGACTAAAATGTTCTTCTTTTTTTTTAGATAATGCAAAATTTGTGTTTCTATGAACATTAAACTTTTCTAGATTTTGACAGAAGTCCCTTTGTTGAGGCATAACTACAGCTATTGGCCAACATTTTCTGTAAACTTAATGAAACTCACAATTTGTCACCTATAAATCCTAGAAAGCAACTGATTTCTTTCTCTTTGTTGAAAATCATTATTTAATCAAAATAAAAATGGAAAACAAGAATCTAGGCACATTTGCCTCTGATGACACCACACACAGCATTACAGTATGAGAATTTTTTCGACCTTTTTTTAAACCCTGTAAATTGCACGTTTTTAATAAATTTTCTCAATATAGTTTGCACACGTTTTTTTTTCTGATGCCAGATCAATATTTTACTTATTTCATCTATGATGTCTTTACCTGAACTGCAATATTTTTTATCAATATGTTTCTAGAATTTATTTTGTGAACTCCTATTATGCAGAATTTACTGCCAGTGTTTATATTGTTTTTTATAAACTTGTTATTAACAAAAAAGGCACCATGGGAATTGCATCTGACATCAGTTTGTAGAGTATTAAAGTGATAAAGATCTATTTGGTCAAAATATTGGATTGCATGGGATGATATATTAGACGTGACTCTTATGTAAGTTTTGCTCGTTTATAGTCTATTTGTTCGATACTTATTGCAGATTGTATAACTGCAAAGATACTAAAGCTCACATGCAGGGGTGGGGGATAATAAAATGAAAAGACATACTGAAGGCAAAGAAATGTAGATTAATCATGATCAATAATGCGATAAGGCAAACTTATTTTCTTGGTTATGGGAACGATTTTAGTTTCCCCTTTCACATGTTGATGTGTTCCTGGGTAAAGCAGTTGCTGACTGATTTGTGTTTCAATGTATGAATATGTGCGACTGAATGTAGTTGTAGTTTAAAGCACTGAGTGCTCAGTAAAATAAAAAAAATGCAACATGGATTCATGCCATTTCCCACAAAATGGATTATCAGCTTTGAGCTGGTGCTCTGCAAGGTCATTTCTTTAACAATCCATCAAGATGACTTTATGCCTAGATTTTCACAGTTGTTCTTTTTTATTGTTGTCAATTATTATTATTTAGGTATGATAAAGTTCATCCTTTCCAAATCTAATTTCTTGATGCACATGTATCTGTTGACAATTCATAAAGAGTAAAACAACTCATCAAAGATGTTTTAAGTTTGTTTACATTTATCTCACTTTTCTTGCTATATCCATCTTGGTTATTTTAAGTCAAATTCCCTACTCAAAGTTATGAAATTAAATCTTCTAAAGCCACTGTGATTTATTTGAATTTTTTCTTAAGATGTAAGTCTAGTCAACCAGTGTCAAATTCTGTTCAGCCATTTGTTCATCCTCACCAATAGATTGATCGATCACAAGGCAAAAACCTATCTTTGTTTTTTGGCAGAATTGTTGTATGCTAACTTTACTTGGCTTCCCCAGAGACTGACATGTCATGGTTGCACCACTGACAGCATATTGGGACAATGTGACTGAATTAAGACCTTTAAAGTGGATGGAGAAGATGTGGGCAAAAAGTGAAGAGAAAAAAGATTAAAGCCTGAGAAGAAAAATTGTGTCTAGATCCATCTTGGTTCCACAGGGAAATAAGGCAGCCATATGGATTCGCAGTAAATAGAAAATCCTGAAACAGTTTGCTGCCCTGCAACTTTTAAACCTCTATGGAATCTTGAGAGGCTTTGTTCAAGTTTGCAGGATAATTTGTTCCCCTTCAGTACAAACACAGCTAAAGGACTTTCTTTGTCGTTCTTTCTTCAGTTAATCACTTTCCTTCCTGCGACCTTCCGGCAGAAACAGAGCTCTTCATCCTTCTTCTCTCCCTGACAGAGTGGACACGCGTCCATCTCTTTCTCCTCGGCTTTATGCCTCCGCTATCAGCAGCTGCAGCAAAGCCGTCTGTGATGTGAAGTGAGACGCCTGCATACTAATGGAACAGAAGCAGGATATTTCCCAGGGAGGGCAGGGAGATCAATCAGGGAATGCATTTACGTCTTTTTTGTTGTGAATTACTATAATAGCATTAACAATTTGAAGATTTTTGAACGATCCTGCAGTATCCACTGGTTGGGTTTATGCATGGTCTTGATAGAAAATATGTCTTCTTGTGTTTTACATGAGTAGTGCTGCAGTCACCTTTTTGCAGGATGGCACCATATGAGCTCACCATGTCAGTTTCTTCTTTGGTTACCAAACATTAAGGCTGGTGGCATAGTGTTGCCATGACGACATCATGCCTGGGAGCTGCTGATTCACTTTCATTTAGCACCCAGTGTGACAACGAACCCCAGAAACAGATGGCTGAAAGCTGCACCTCCTGTGAGATGATATTAAAAATATTATCTGAGGTCCACCGTGCTTTCAGTGTAGTTTTACTGTTGCTGTGTTGTGTCTAAACTCTACATCAAAGATTTTGAGCCCCATCAGTCTGAAAAGAAGTGATTCTGGATTTGACTGCAGGTCAGCAGATCCTCTTTTCGCTCTGCTTTCTGGAAGCAGCCTGATAACTGTGTTTATCAAATGTACCATGTTATGAAGCAGACAGGCCTCATTAGTGTATACTGCTGCCGTGAACCTCACTGTAATAATATGGCAGCAGGTTTATTTGAAGCGAATGCAAGCAGTAGCGGTAAAGTGCCTTGTAAAATATTCTTATGTTACAAAAACAAACATTGAAGCTTTTTCTATCGGAAAGTGGGTAAATAAGTTTTTTTTTTCACAAACAGTAATGAAAAAAATCTTAGTATTGATTGGACATCATCCACCTTTACTCTGATCCCCATAAATAAACTCAAGTACTATTATTTACCCCTCAGAGCAAACGTCATTTAATAAGTAAACAGAGTCCATGGGTATTTCAATCTTAGTATAAACCTATCTATTCTGTAAAGGCTTCAATTGTGTGTTTGAGAACACTGGTTAACAAATAGCCGTGTGGAGACCAAGGATCACAGGAGATAAGTTAGGGAGAAGGCTATGTAGAAGATAAAAGGAAGATTATAAAACTGTATTCCTAGATTTGACCTTTTAACCCCTTGATGCCCATAGTTGCAAATATGTAACAAACCCTTTGTATTACATACACAGCCAAGATCGCATGTGCATTCCCTCAGTGCCAGTTATTCAACATTCAATGTTGACCTAGGACGCTTTGTCAAGCTTTTGTTTCCATCACAACTGGTGTTTGTTATCATTAACCCTTATCAATGTTGTAATAAACTTGTAATGTATTTATTTTTAAAATAAATAAAAAGATTAGAAATTTCAATTTGGCAATTAGTTAAAAGTAAAAGACTCTGATCTGATAAAGCATACCAAGACGTAAGTAGGAATAACAAATGCTACAATACTGAGTTTATATATTGTTTTTCTTGCCTTACCAACCATTTAAAGGACTTTCCAATAAACACATTCAGCTCTTGGCACTGACAGCATTTATACTTTTGTACCCCGATACATAGATCAGCATGTAACTTGGTAATCTTTTAGATTGCCAGACAACTACTCTACCATTGCTGATATTGTTACAACCAGCCCATGGCTCAAAAGAAAGAATCTAAACTTTAGTTATTCACTCCACATTTCTGACCTTTGTCATGGAGTACTGAACAATGTCAAAAAGCCTGGTAGCATTTTGTAGCCATGTCAAGTGGCACAGAAGACATGTGAATAAGGCACTCAGATGAAGTTGGACTTTTTTTTTCCCTTCTTGCAAAAACCTTCTGCAGAAAACTGAAACTACTTATTTCTCTGAGCACATAATCTCCGAAGTACAACATTATGATAGCAGCATCATGCCGATAACATGCCTTTCTTCCTGTGACAAGAAGCCTGATCAGAGTTGCAAGGGGATAAATGGAATTAAATAAAGGACAGTAGTGAAATAAACAACAACCTATAAGATCCTGTAGCAGGTGTTCACCCAGGAGCAGAATGTATTCCCAAACATGCAATCGGAGCTACAAAGTATTTAAAGCATAATGATTCCTAAGAATGACCTACTTAAAGTCCATACAAAATTCTGTGTCAGAATCTATTGCAAGACTTCAAGATTGATGTTCAAAGGTGCTCTCAATGTTGCAAAGACACTCTGCAAAGACCTGCAGGAATAGGTGGTTTAATAATCTACCGTTTTAGACTCTGAATACAAATGCATGGCACTTTTTCTTTTTTTTTTTGTCACGAACAAACCGTATGTTATTTTTGTTATTTTATTTTTCCATTTCACAATGTTGCACCATGCTGTTCTGGTCTATAAAATCCCAAAGACATGAATTAAGTTTGGGATTGCAGGGAGAGAGAGTACAGAAATGTATGAATACTTTTGCTAGACACTTTGTAGAAAGAGATACAGTAGATTTATGCAAATTTTACGATTATGTATGTGCAGAGTAAAACTTCAGGGATTCGGTAAAAAAAAGAAGATAAATCCCACTGCTGAGCTCTCAGCTCACACAGTCAGTTGGATAATACCGACAGTAGCTGTTGGGGGATTTTTCTATATTCTCTTCCAGGATCCTGTGTATGGGTGCATGCCAAAATTACTCAGAGAAGATGGTGCATTTCTTGAGCGGTGCAGATAACGATGCAATGTTAAAGACAACATGATGTCCATGAGGTGAAAGACTACAAAGTTCTCAGATTGTTGTGCTTGTAGATACATGGTGTATATAGTATATTTTTGTTTGTAATCTCAAGAACTGCAATCTCTGACTTTATTAAGACAGTGTCCATGTTTGCCAGTGCTGTAATGATGTAAGAGGTTGTTTTTTTTACATTGTAAGCAATAGAAAATGGAGAGACTGGGAGCCACTCTTAGTGGAGCTGTCCATGGTATCTAAGTGTGCACAAGAGGGCATCTAAGCAGAATTTGTGCACTGCAGTGATTATCAAACAGGCCCTTAGTGAAAACAAGCATATGTCTCTTGGCAAACCTTCGTACAGTCAATAAGGTCAAAACATAGGCGCAGTAAGGGAACCTTGGGAGCGGATACAGACCCCTACAGTGATAGCAGTCTGCCAAAAGAACCTGCTGCCAGGTGTCTGAGTTTTATTGCTTCCGTTTGAAAGCAGAGATTAATCCTTCTGCCTCCTCAGATTTAATATTCGAGCAGCACAACACAAGCAGAAAGAGAGGACAGTACAAAGTCATCACTGAGTAAAAATTAGCAATTGAAAACTATATTTATGGATAATTAAGATGGATGGCACAAGACTGGATCACCTGGGAAACTGTATGATCCATGATTAAAAGAGAGGTAGATAGCATGTTGGCAGGAGTGATTCTTAATCAAAACAAGCAGAGAAACGAGGAGAAGCTGAATGTTCCAGCTGGTGCAATTTAGTCCTTTTGAGGGAATCAGCTCAGTTTGTTTCTGACTGGGTCTCTGCAGAGTCCAACCACCTCACAGCAGACATCTGCCTTACTCAGAGAAACTGCAGCTCAGCTAAAATTGGATCCAAAAAATTTGTGCTGGATGTTTTACTTGTTCATTTTCCTTTGACTTAGGAATGAGCACTTTTCTTTTTTCTTTTCCTGATGCTTTTACCAATTTTTCCACATCAGCCTAACCTATCCCAAATACATTTAGCAGATTCTTTTGGGCCGATTCTTGGAGCTGACATTTATTTTATATTCTCTCCCTATGCTTACATGCTGAAAATGACCCGATGATAACAAATGTTACACAATTCTAAATTTGAAACAAATAGAAATATTTATTAATAAATCAACACATTAGTAGTGAATAATTAAGAGAGAGAGGCAATGCATGCAAATGGATGGCTGCCGAATGCACCTTGTAGATGCACTAGCATCATCCAACTTATTGGCCAGGTGATGCATCAGCCTAGCTCTAGTTAGAACCATTGGGTGGAAGTGAGTTACTGCAGCTGGATTACATTTAGCAAAGTGCCATGATCACATCAGCTGACAGTAGACAATGGTTAGATTAAAAATACTTTAATACATGAGCTATCAAAGAGTGGACAAGATGTTGAATGGCTGGTATTTGGCCAATGTTTAGTAGGCCACAAGACATCCTGTGGTACACATTCTCCTGAAATAGCGGTTGGGTGAAATGCTGAGCATTTGAGTGAACTAAAGATCTTTAAGACACACCAAGAGTTACAACTTTGTCATGATGGTGGAATGTCAGGTGTTCCCTGTTATAGAACGCCCTGAATGATGTGACCCAGTTAGTGTGGATAAGCCATGATTTCCTGTCAGACTCCCCTGCAGTGATTTGGACTTTATTTTGTATTGTGTGTGAGCAGCCTTAGTATCTGTACTGGATCCAACTCGCCAACTTTTTGTTTTTGTAGATCAAACTTATGGTCATGTTGTTAATCACTGTCATTATCCTGTTTTCAGATAAATGGAGATGTCAGGAAGGATCTTGTTGATCTTTCCAAAGCTCATTGCTTCTCTGACAGGAAAAAAGATTGCTTAGCTGGGCTCCATCTTTTTCCTTCTTTTTAAATGCATCAGTCACTAAATCATTTTCAGTCTTCCCCCACTGAATCCCATAGAGTATCTAGCTTAGTGAAATATATATTTTTAAAAGATTCCAGAGTTGTTTGATACTCCAAAAATCAGCCAGTGTGTTTACTGTAGATTTCTGGACAGATCTGTGTCATATTTACAGCACAAATAGAACGATATATGGTATCTTATGTATTCAAATCCATTTTTTTTTTCACACAACGTTCCTGTATTTATTTATTGGGATGCTTGTAAAAGCAGGTGGTCCTTTGGCAGCTTTCTTTACAATTATCATCTAGAATTTTTCTTTTTCGCAAAGGAAGAAAGGAAAAGGATTAAAACTCTCTTTCTATAAATAAAAACCCAAATTAGTAAACAACATGAAGAAATATTTTGACAGCTTTTACAGTTGCAAACCTTTTAAGTGATGTCAGTACCAGTTTTGACATTGTTAGATAATATATAATCTTAACCAGTATATTTTTCGATTTTTCTTTTTGCTGTAACATCAACTGACCCCTTAATGTGGAGTATTCAACATGTCTTCTGTTTTTGTATTTTTTCAAGATAACTCGCATTAGGCTCTGTATTATCAGCTTACCATCAAACTTACAAGATTGTTCGCTGTCCAACAAACTTGAGTGAAATGACTAAATTCCCTCATCAGCAGCCATGTATTGCAATACAACTGGTAAAAATAAATCATTTATAAATCTCTGACTTTCTGCTTGGTCGTGGCTGATTAAGTCCCTACCTACACTCGCTAAGTTTTAAGCACCCCGCATACACCCACACATCCACGCACACACACACCCATACACACATACTCCATGAAGCAGATAGCTGATACTAAGCTGGTACAAATACAATCAAATCAAACAAAAGACAAAAACATGTTCTGGCTCTCCAAAGAAGCGAACTCATCAAGAAAGCTAAAATAATCCTGACACAGGTCGCCAGTCCATCGCAGGGAAACACAGAGACAAACACACACACACCTAAGGCGAATTTAGAGCATGTTAAGTCAACAGATTATGGTTTAATTTAAACTATCTATTGTATTGGCGTTTTTACTTTGTATAACGTGTTTTCTTGCAATCAGCCAATCATTTTTTTCTCTTTTCTTTTTTAGGTTGGGACTGATCAAGCTTCATCGACTACGTCCAGCTTAGTAATCATCATTCTGGAACTACAGTTTTTTGGTTGTTGTTTTTATTTTTTATCAGCAAAGTACACTGATGTTTGCAAGGCGTTCCTTTATACTCCCCTTGTAAACGCAGCCTTGCTACTTAGCAAATATGGCAATGGGCTCTCAGCTTTGCCCTCCTCCAATTTTACTTTTTGTGGTATTTCTTCTTGCTTCTCTACCACTGGCAAATGGCAAAGAATGTCCTCGTTTGTGTGTGTGTGAGATCCGACCTTGGTTTACCCCCCAGTCAACATACAAGGAGGCGATGACTGTTGACTGCAATGATTTGAGACTGACACACATACCTACTAATCTCTCAGCAGACACTCAGGTGTTGCTGCTGCAAAGCAATGCAATCTCTCGCACCAATGGAGAGCTGCAGGTTCTGGTAAACTTAACAGAGCTAGATCTGTCCCAGAACAACTTTACAATTGTTGAAGCTGTTGGCCTCACAAACATGAATCATCTGACTACACTGCATCTAGAGGAGAACCAAATCAGGGAGTTGCCAGACCACTGCCTGGGAAATCTCTCCAGCCTCCAGGAGCTCTACATTAATCACAACCAGATTAGCTCTATCTCCCCTCATGCATTTTCAGGTCTACGCAGTCTGCTGAGGCTCCACCTCAACTCAAACAGGCTTCATGTGATAGACAGCCGCTGGTTTGAGGAAACCCCAAACCTTGAGATCCTCATGATTGGGGAAAACCCAGTTATTGGTCTACTGGATATGAACTTCACACCTCTGGGAAAATTAAGAAGTCTGGTTCTGGCTGGCATGGATCTTACTGATGTTCCACCAAATGCATTTGTTGGTTTAGACAACCTCGAGAGCATTTCTTTTTATGATAACAAACTGGTCCGAATCCCCCAATTAGCCCTACAAAAAGTTCCCAATTTGAAATTCCTGGACTTAAACAAAAATCCAGTTAAGAAAATTCAGGAAGGAGACTTCAGAAACATGCTTAGCCTTAAGGAGTTGGGCATCAACAACATGATGGAGTTGGTGTCCATTGATCGTTATGCTCTGGACAACCTACCAGAACTGACTAAACTGGAGGCCACCAATAATCCAAAACTTTCATACATACACAGATTGGCATTTAGGGACATGCCCTCTCTGGAGAGCCTGATGCTCAACAATAATGCTCTGACTGCTCTTTACCAGCACACTGTGGAGGTCCTGCCCAACCTGCGAGAGATCAGTATTCACAGTAATCCACTGCGCTGCAACTGTGTGATTCAATGGATGAGTTCCAACAGATCCACAGTGCGGTTTATGGAGCCTCTAGCCATGCTCTGCACTGCCCCAACAGAGCTCAGAGGCCAACGAGTCAGAGAGTTCAGGCTGCTGGAGTCCACAGAGCAATGCCTTCCTCTCATTTCCCACGACACATTCCCAAGCCACTTGAACCTTGACTTAGGAATGAGCATCAGCCTGGACTGTCGGGCAATGGCTGAACCGGAGCCTGAAATCTACTGGGTGACCCCACTCGGTGCCAAAATTACAACAGACACTGTGTCTGAGCGGTACCACCTAAGCAGTGAGGGGACTCTGCGATTGTCTCATGTTCAGGTGGAAGACTCTGGGCGGTACACATGTGTGGCACAGAACCCAGAAGGTGCTGACACCTGGGTCTCCACAATTCGTGTCAATGGGACCTTGCTTGACAGCACTCAGGTGATGAAGATTTATGTCAAGCAGACAGAGTCTCATTCCATCTTGGTCTCCTGGAAAGTCAACTCGAACGTCCTGTCCTCAAACCTGAAATGGGCCTCTGCCACCATGAAAATTGACAACCCGCAGATCACATACACAGCTCGTGTTCCTGTAGATGTTCATGAATACAATCTCACGCATCTTCAACCTGCTACAGAATATGAAGTATGCCTCACAGTGTCCAACGTCCACTTGCAGACGCACAAGTCCTGCGTCAATGTCACAACCCGCGGCGCCACTTTTTCCCTGGACCTGTCAGATCAGCACCCAAGCGTAGCCGTACTGGCCGTCATGTCGACTGCATTAGCCTTTCTCAGCCTGGCCACTGGGGCCATCTACATGGCCCGCAGGTGGAAGAGAAAAAACTACCACCACTCGCTGAAAAAATACATGCTGAAGACCTCGTCCATTCCGCTTAATGAGCTCTACCCTCCGCTCATTAATCTCTGGGAGGCTGATGGTGAGAAGGACAAAGATGGCAGCACAGAGGGGAAACCTTCCCCAGTCGACACCACACGCAGTTATTATATGTGGTGAGGGTATTTTTAATGAGGCCTAACGCCTCACTAGCAGCACAATAAGACACTCTTTTGCCATATTGGTGCAAAAGTAAGACGAGTGTTTTTTTTGTATTTTTAGCTTTGCTATTAAGAGGCAGAGTGATCGAGTGCAGGATTTATATTAGTATAGCGTATCGCCTTTGTTTATGTAACTATTTTTTCTTAACTCTCCAAAATGGCAGCTGTATTTAGCCTTCATATATACTTAGTTGCTTTTCTCTGTTTCTGTAGTGCATTTTGAACTTACCTTCTTTCTGTGTTAATCATTCAAAAGCAGGGAGTTGAACCTTTTGTAGAAATACTGTAAGTTGTTCTCTTCTTGTTTTGTAAACAATTAACCCGCTGTGCACTGATAGATGAAGGGGTTTGTGAGAGCCTCAATTTAAAGCAGACTGCAGGGTTTAGACGCAGTAAACTGTCTAATGGATGTTTGCGGTTGTGCAGTAATGTTGTATCAACTATAAATTTAAACTTTTTGATCCATGATGTAAGGAATTAGGGAATTTAGTTTGGTTAAAATGTAATGTTAAAGTTATAGAACAAAGAATGTTTCTTTTGAAATTTTCTCAATGGGTGCACTAGAGAATGTTTTGACATTACTCCAATGTTTTGACCAGATTTTGTTTTGTTTACTAATTGCGTAGTTTATCATCCACACATGTAATATGTATACTTAAGTAATGATAAATAAAGATTTTGTTCTTTTGTATACATGTTTTTTTCTTCACTGGACAGTTTGCTAGTCTTCATTTCCAAGAGTTACTCTGTGTTTCAGGTTTTAGCACTCAATTTCCCCAGTGGTATAGGAGCGTTTGGTTTTATTTAGGTTCTTCACAGCTGTAAAGGAGGAACATAAACTTTCAAGAGATATTTTGCTTGCTACTCTGATACAATCAGTGCTAACACTATGTAATCGAGTATGTGTATCATTACAAAGCCAGAGTCAGGGTTCCAGTACCTTCTTTAAAAGGGTTTTCAAGACATAGGTTCAGATAATTCTTTACTGGTTTTGCTCTTGCAAAAAAAAAAAAAGCCTAAATCAAACACAAGGATGTAATGCCTTTGAACTAGATAAAATACAAGGGTACAAGAGAGAAGGTCCAGCGTTCACAACCTGGACAGGACTATTTTGCATGTTCTTCCTATGCGGCATCTTTGGTGAAGCTGTCACTTTGAATTACCCTGAGATTTGAGTTTGCCAACATGTTCAGTGTTCTCTTTGTTTTTCTATTTGTGTGGGTACCTAAATCATATCTCATATATATTGTGTAACTTTCAATCCCTTAGATTCAGAGATGCTGCCTTGTTCCCATATTTAGCACTGTTCTGTGTTAAATAAAATTACAGATAAGTTGCTATTATATATAATTATATATATATATATATATATATATATATATATATATATATAAAAAACTATATGAAAT